AGAAAGGAGGAAATGACATGAACCTGTCATCTCCACAAAGATGGAGAACATGTCAGTTTCATTTACCAAGGTTGACTCAACATCTGACACAATCCTTGATAAATATTTGTTGAACAAATATTCTAATGAATGAGGAGAACTATGAAGAGGAAAAGATGGAAAAGAATAAAATATAGTATGTCTCCTACACACCAGGAACTTGCATTGCTGTGTGCTGTATGTACATGATACCTCTCTGAATCTCCCGCAGAAGCACCCTAAAAGGCATGTAGTGTCATCTTCATTTTTTACCTGGGGAGACTGAAGCTTAATAAGGATATCCTGTGTCTTTGGTGAGGCAGGGAAATGGACTTTCACTCATGTACTATTTAAAATGGAAAATGAGCTAGTAAAGCATTTGGGGGAAGAAAGCTAGTAGTCAGAATATATAAAAGATTTTACTGTCTAAGCCCTTGACACCAATCATTCTTCTTCTAGGAACTGCTCCTACAGAAAAAGACCAGTCTGCTGCCTAGAGATGTATGCACAAAGTTACTCATGGAGAAAAACTGGAAACATCTGAAGTGTCCAGTAGAGGAATGATGGAAGAAATTACTGTACACCTATACTATGTAACACTGCGCAGCATACACAGCCATGAGGTTGTTTGAGGGTTGAAATGACCAAAATGAAAAAGATGAGGAAAGAAATGAATACACAGGTGAAAGGAGGGAGGAGCCAGGAGAGACAGAGATGGAAAAGAAGAGAGAAAATGATGGGTAGATTGAAGGATATATAAAAGAGAGAGAGGAGCTGGGGATATTGTTCAGTGGAACAAGTACCTGCCTGGCAAGTGCAAAGTCGAGAGTTTGATTCCTGGTACCAAAAAAAAAATTAATTTGATTTAAAAAGAGAAAGGATAGAATAATGATGGATATATAGACAGATCAAACAATGGGTAGATGGATGCATGGGTGGATAGATGGATGAAGAGGTAAATGTGGTATACTTATAGTATAAAATTTCATGCATGACAACTACAGGACAATGTCTATGATGGCTTCTAGGTAGTAATAATGAAAAACTTGAGAGATGTTGCTATATAATAATTAGATTTTTTAAAAACTAAAAATACATGTTAACAATGATTGAATTTCACAAGCATGATGTTGACTGGACCAAACCAGATACAAAAGACAACATGTTGTATGATTCTATTTCTATGAAGTCCCAGAAACAGAAAAAACAAATCTATAGTGCTCTATGTTAGGATTGTGTTTTTTTTTAACTTAATAAGTTTATTGGTACAATTTAGGCATATGCAATGATCATACTCATCACAGGGACTTTGCACCTGTACATAATATACTATGACTTGTCTTTTTTTTTCTCCAATTCCCTTCCCCTCCCTCCAGCCTCTTTTCCCCGCCTTACTTACCAAGCTTTGTCTCCATTTTATCCTTCTTTTCTCATTCTTTCTTTCCCCCTCCATCCTTTCCCCACTTCCTTAGTTCCCCTTTCTTTTTGAGCAATTTCTCCCCAGTTCACTATATCTCTTGTACAATTTGGTTCATATTTACACTTTCAGTTTCTCATACCACTGAGACTGTGTGACATTCATACATGTGTGTGCAATTTATTTCACTTAAGAGTACGGTCTCAAGGCCCATCCACAGGATAGTGCTTAGAGAAGGTAGTGGCCAGAAAGAAACAGAAAAGGAGGAAATTCAGGGACAAAAAGTTAGGTATAGTCTTCTCCTTGGGCAGATATTGGTTGGATATATTCAGTTTGTGAAAATTCATTGAACCACACACTTAAGACTTGTGACTTTTATGCATGTAGATTTCCTATTAAATATAAAACAAAGTTTCATAACAAAATAGAGAATAACAACAGTTGACACACTCTGTACCATAATGTTAAAAGAATGGCCAAAATATTACTCAGAGTACAAGTCACAGACAAGACGAGAAACAGAAAGTAGGGGAAAGTTCAAATACTTCCCCAAATTCTCTATTCAATTGTTTCAAAAATATTTCAGTATAGATGCTAATTCATTTCATGTGTACTACTTATTTCTCTTAGTTCACTGAAAAGAAAGTCTTGTGCTGTTATCTGTAGGTATTTTTTTCAATGAAATTTTTGGGGTTGTTGTTTGGGGGTTTTTTGTGATACTGGGCTTTGAACCCAGCAATACTCTACCACTGAACTGCATCCCTTGCACTTTTTATTTTTTATCTTGAGACACAGTCTCAAAAAGTTGCCCATGCAGGACTTGAACTTGACCTCCTCCTGCCTCAGCCCCCTGAGTGGCTAGGATTACAGGTGTGCAACACCATGTCCAACTATGCGATTTCCTTAAAGAACAAAAAACATGATTTTGTTTCATATGTTCTGATGTGCGATGATGACACAGGCATAAAATTAGATGAACAAAACAAGTGATAGAACAATTTGGTAAAATGAGCCCACATATAAAACAAACAGCTAATAATATGCAAGTCAACACAAGAGCTGAAAGGAAAATGCTTAGTCTTGTGTCTGGGTTAGCTCTAAGCAAAGGGAAGGGTTGGAGGGATAGGAATGATCCAGGTGTGCTAAAACGTCTGTATTGTTTGAATATTCCACTCCTAGACATGGAACGAAAATATGTGTTCACACAAAAACGTGTTTATGAATGTGTGCAACATCAAACAGCCAAAATGATGTTAATTCACAAAATGGAAAAATATTTAGTTATGAAAAAGGAATGATGTAATAATATTGCAACTTTGATGAACTTTGAAGATATGGTGCCAGATTTAAAAAAAGAAAAAAAGAAAAGAAAACAGACATAGCTAGACATAGTGATGCATGACTGTAATCGCAGCCCTCAGGCGGCTGAAACAGGAACATCACTGTGGGTTCGAAGCCAGGTTGGGCTACATAGTGAGTTCAAGACCAGCCTGGACTACAGAGCAAGTCTCTGTCTCAGAACAACAATAACAAAAAGAAGCCAGACATAAAACACAACATACATTTTGTCCCTGTGAAACATGTAGAACAGAGAAATCTAGAGGTAGAAGTTAGATTGGTGGCTGTCTGAGGTTGAGAGGGATTGGGGGTCATAGCTAAGAGGTACAGGGTTTCTTTCTGAGGTGATAAGAATGCTCTAGAATGGACTGTGATGAGGAGTCCATGGCCCCACGCTATTAATATCATAAAGCTACTGAATAGGACCCTGTAGGTGGAGGAGCCATATGGTGTGTGAATAATGTCTTATGAAGGCTGTTGATATAAAATAAAAAAGCAAAAAGCAAAATTCTGACAAAAAAGATAGAGGAGGAAGGCCAGGAGGAAGAGAAGAGAGGGGCCGGGGAGGCCATGAATTGATGGTCGGACCCTCCTGGTTCAGATGCCCAATGTGCTAATTACTGGTGGGGTGACCATGAGAAGTCATCTGATTTCACCATATGGACTTCAGATTCCTCATTTGCAAAGTAGGAGGAACAATGGTGATCTCTCCGGGCTCTTGAGGATGTGATGCGATGATAAGCAAGTGAAGTTGGTGTTATTTTCCCAGGGAAGGTGGAGGGGTAAGCAGGCTCGGCGATAGGAATGCTGGGTGCTGACGAGCTGAACGTAGCGCGGCGGAGGAGGGTCTTGTGATTGGTCTGGCGCAATGCTCTGGCTGACTTGGACACTCAGCTCCAGCTTCTTCAGCCAGGGGGTGTCGCCAGAGCCTTGACATCACTCACTCTATGGGCGTTTGACTTTATTTCTACACCAAGGCTGTGCTGAGGGTGTGTCTCTCTCATCATGAGGTTTTGTGAGTGACAGAAGACTCACTGGCAATAAAAGGGAGTGACAATTGTGCTGTTTCATAGCCAGGCCCTCTCGGGAGAACCTGAGAAGAACCAGCACTGTCAGCCCCTTCTCCACGGTCAGCACGTGGGTTCCACTCCTCCTGGAAGCCCAGCCCCGGACCAGCAGAAGAGAGAGCTACAAGACTCAGCCTGGCTTTGAGGAACAACTGTGTCTACAGCCGGTGAGTGATATGGCGGTTCTTCCACCTTTCCCTGTCTTACTCACATGCACATACACACACACACACACACACACACACACACACACAAACACACACACACAAACACATACATACACACACCTGTCACTTCATGAATGGATATTCTCACCAGTTCTGGCAGAACTGAAGAAATTTCCATCCATTCATCCACCCATCTCTCTGGGTTTTCTGTCACTTGTTCATTTATTATTTGTTTACTCAATAAATTCTCCCCAGCACCACCTCTGCACCCACTGTTGGAGACAGAGACAAAGGTGCCAGGCTTTCACTCTTGAAATCTGAGCTGCCAGTAAAGCCATGAGAATAAGAATCAAAAACACTGCTGTTTTATAAAGCACATGCCACTTTCTTGTAAAATTATTTGTCTGCCTATTAATAAACCTGTCTGTGATCTTTCTGTGTGTATATAAGCACAAAGAGATGATGAATGTGATATTTAGTGAGTAAAAAATGATTACTGCTATAAAGCAAGTATAAACAGGCTGCACTCCTGACATCAAGAGAAGGGAGAGGCCAGGAAGTGAATCAGAATCACAGAATCTACCTTGATTTGCCATTGCTGTGAAGCACTTAGCACTCTTCCTTGGTTTTTCCTTTTCAGACAGGAAAATTGAGTCTCAGAGAGGGCGTGAGATGCTTCAGGACTCACAGCAAGGAGAGGAGAGCACTTGATTCTGGTGTACCCGGTTTCAGAGCTGAGCTCCATCCACTTCTTCCTTCACAACATCTGCTTCCTTTCTTCTTTCCTCCTAGAGATGAGAGAGAGATTTGATGTTTGTTTCTGCCACACACTAAAGCTATGTATGAGCAAGAAGAATAGCTTATATAGTATGTTCCCAGGATTTATCAAATAATAGATACTCAGGAAATGTGTGTTAGAGAGTTTGGTGGATGGATGGATGGATAAGTGAGTGGATGGATGGTGGATGGATGATGGGTGGGTGATAGATGGATGAATGGGTAGTTGCACAGACAGGCAGGTAGGTTGAGGAGTAGGTGGAAAGACAGATGAATAAATGGGTGCATAGTTGGTGAGTGATAGATGGATGAGTGACTGGATGGATTAATGGACAGAAGCATGCATGGACGGATGGGTATACAGGTAAAGAGACGAGCCTGGATAGATGGATAACTGGTTAGGTGAGTGGGGACAAGAACAGATGGAGAAGGTATGGCAAACATTACTCCACCCACATCACCAAGTAGGAGTCTTCTCTGATAATTCCAGGCTGACAAAGGAGTGATAAAGAAGTGACAGATAAAAAGAGAAGGGAAAATGCCAAGAGTGTGCCAGACAGTGTGCTGTTTAGCCAGAGAGCAGAACAGAACTCAGACAGGAGAATAGAGAATTTTAACAGATATTCAATCTCAAAGCAAAGAGACCTCTTCAGCCTGAGTCCCACCAGGATAGTTTCAGTGCAGTCTTCATAAACTTTTACGGAGTTCTCACAGTCTAACCTGAAGGCGTTTCCTTACTGATGCCTCCCCAGCCAGTCATCTCCTGAGTAGAAGAGGGGAGCAAATGGGCCACCAATCCAGTATCTTCAGCTGGAAGTTGAATCCATCACAGGCAGTTGAGTGTCCTGAAGCAGGGAGGGGGAGATTTCAGAGGCTGGTAGGGATGGCATTTTGAGGGCTTCTACAGATGGAAGACTCTACCAGGTTCTCAGTCTAGGGAGGATATGCACCACAGACTGTCATCTCTTACCCGGTCTGACCATATACCAGGTAACCACCAGCGATATCTCAAAAACCCAGATAGACAAATCAATCTGTTCTCTGATCCTCTGCCTTCATTAGAGACCTTCAACCTATCTTCTCTTGACCCTCAGGATCAGAAAATAGTGCTGAGAGCTGAACCCAGAATCAAAAGAGAAATGAGTGTTCCTCGGCCTTTAGTGGAGGTAGGTTGGGGGGGCAGTTTGGAAGGAGAGAGAATATCTGGGGACGAAGGAGGGGAGGACTTAATCTTTCAAAAAGAGTAGGGAAAATGAAAAAATAATGACTTGTATTCAGAACTTTGTGATCTTCCAAATGATAAAAATAGACACAGAGCTGGAACCCAAACTGGAACAGGAGGAAGGGAAGCCAGCTATACCTGTGTCCAAAAATCAGGTTCTTATCACTATGGACTCAGTACGCTGCTTCTCTTCAAAAAAGAATTATTGACCCAAGTCCTTCTTCCTCAGAGGGAGTAAAGATAGGATGTGGGTGTTAGCTTCAGAAGTTTGGAGGCCTTTGCAAATGAAGAATCAATAGAGGAATGCATAGAACACGCTTAGGAAGAATGGGAGAGCGGCAAAAGCCATCAAATGTGACAACAGGAAAGGACCTTCAAAATTACACACACACATTCATCCGAATTTGGAAGCTGGAGCCTGGATAAAGGCAGGAACCTACCCCACAGATCTTGATAGAAAAGAATCATATCTCAAGTTCAACAACCAGATTGGCAAATAAAAATAGAAGATCCTAGCTGAATTTGTTTTTGCTTTTGCTTTTGTTTTTGTTTTTTGGCTTTTTGAGACATGGTCTCGCTATGCAGTTCAGGCTGGCACTGAGCTCACTTTGTAGCCTAGGCTGGCCTCAAATTTTCAACAGTCTTCCTGCCTCAGCCTCCCGAGTGCTGGAATTACAGGTGTGCGCCACCACACCCGGCTCCTAGCTGAATTTGAATTTCACAACAAATGCACTTATATTATAAGTATATCCTACACAATATTCAGGGTATACAAGTATTTATTCTACCAACTTGTTTATTTGAAATGTGTTACTAGGAACCTTGTATTTTACCTGGCAAAGCAACCCCAGGCCTTTTTTGAGTACATCCTCTGCATCTCCTTGACCTTCTTTCCCTTACTGACTCTGTCACCTCTTGACCAGGAAGAGTATGATATGTCAGGCGCCCGCCTAGCCCTGACGCTGTGTGTCACCAAAGCCCGGGAAGGTTCAGAGGTAGACCTGGAAGCCCTGAAAAGCATGTTCCAGCACCTGGGATTCCAGAGCACCATGAAAAGAGATCCCACTGCCCAGGTACTTGGCTGCCAGCTCTAGGCCAGGAGGGAAAGGGGCTGAATCACAGGCGTGGCGCCTCTATCTGAGCCTGACCATTTCTTTCCCTCCAGCAATTCCATGAAGAGATGGAAAAATTCCAGCAGGTCATAGATAGCTGGGAAGAGCCTGTCAGCTGTGCCTTCGTGGTGCTCATGGCCCATGGGGACGAAGGCCTCCTCAAGGGAGAAGATGGGGAGATGGTCAGGCTGGATGACCTCTTCCAGGTCCTGAACAACAAGAATTGCCAGGCCCTGAGAGCCAAGCCTAAAGTGTTCATTGTGCAGGCCTGTCGAGGAGGTGGGGACAGAAGCAGGAACACAGAATCCCTGCTCTTCACCCAGCCCAATCCCAAACCTGGCATGCTGCCATACTGTCTCAGAGCCTTTTCCCCTCCACATCTTCCTTTCTGACTCTGCCTTTTCCTCTTCTTGGTCTTTCAGAAAACAGGGACCTCGGAGAAACAGTAGGTGGAGATAAGGTCATGATGATCACCGATGACAGCCCCCAAACCATCCCAACTTACACGGATTTCCTCCACGTCTACTCCACAGTGGAAGGTAGGAGCGCCTAACTGGCCTGCAGTAGCCTCTTCTCCTCGCCCTCACCCGCCACTCCTGACCCCTGAACCCCAACTCACCTCTCTGGAACCCCCAGGGTACATTGCCTACAGACATGATGAGGAAGGCTCTTGTTTCATCCAGACACTGGTGAAGGTGTTCAGAGATATAAAAGGATCCATCCTGGAACTTCTGACGGAGGTGAGTTGGGACAAGGAAACTGGAACCTCACCTGGGTGGAGCAGGCTGAGCCTCCCCCAGTCTTCCTCCATTTCCCCATCCCCAAATCCCAACATAGAAAGTAGGACATCTTTATGCCAGCAATAAATTTTCCCAGGGCATACTTCCAAAGCCCACAGTATGTGAGACAGTTTAAATGCAATACAGAAAAACTTCTTTGAACAATTCTTTCATATTTAATTAATGTTTAGCCAAATATTTTTTTCTTCTAATGGTGGTATGTTTTATTGCAGATTAGGAAAAATATATATTAAATGTATATACATTTATTATATTTATTATACAATATTAAATATATATTAAATATAAATTTTCATATGTATATATTCCAACCAGACACAATAGCCTGTAATCCCAGCTACTCAGGAAGCTGGGGCAGGAGGATTGCAAGTTTGAAGTCAGCCTGGACATTAAAAAATAAAAAATGGCTGTGTGAAGACCCTGAGTTCAATCTCCAGTACATCCAAAAGAAGTCCAGCCAGTGATTCCATACTAACTATGGAACAGGAGGAGACAACAAAGGTCTTTTGTCTTAGGCCATGGACACTGACCTGTTCTGTTCCCTAACCTTCACTGCATAAACCCGTGACACCAGTCCCACCAGGGGCTTAATCCCTAAGCTGACCACATATATTGCTGCAGGTGACCCGGCGCATGGCAGATGCAGAGCTGCTTCAGGAAGGGAGAATGAGGAAAGTGAACCCTGAAGTCCAGAGCACCCTCCGGAAAAAGCTCTATCTGCAATAAAAGTAGAAAAGCCAGGGAGAAGCTCTCCTGCAAGTGTTCTCTTGGTCCCATGGATCATTACAGGGAAGCTCACCCCATTCCTCAAAATCTCCTCTTTCCAATCGGTCTTTCTTTTCACCACCTCATCTGTGTCCTTAGAGCAAGCCAGCCAAAGTTGAGCACAAGATATGATGGTAACATGAACATCACCTCCCTCAGGATGGACTCCCTACCTCCACTGATGCAACCTCAGAATGCATTCACTTATCCTACTATGCTTCTGTACACAATTGAGATCTTTCTCTTCCTCCTGTGAGTCATATCCATACAAAATAACTAGTTAAACTCATGATTTTTCACTGACAAGCCAATACTTGCTGCCCACCTCTCACCCCACTCAAGCCTTTACCGAGACCCTGCAACTCACTCAGAGTTATAACTTCCTTACGAGCCCATATTCTTTGCCATCTCCCAGGGATTCACTCCCAAGCCCTAGAATTTCCATAAGGCATGAATTATTCTCCTAAACCCTGCTTCCTTGGCTAGTAAGTTAGTGCCTTGACTTAGGGTGACCTTATGGACTTTTTCTCTGGATAATGCCACTACCTCTTCCTTTTCTGGTTCTCTTCCTTCTTCCCCAAAGTTCCTGGACTCTGCCCTCTCTCCAAGAAAATCTATCCATTCATTCCTCTGTTCTTTCCATTTCAACTTTCAGCCACTCTGAATCAGAGCAAGAGAGAGCCCACCCTGTTATTTTACAGATCAAGTACTAGAGACCTGGAGAGGTTAGATAATTTGTCAATTGCCACACAGGAAGCCAGAGGCAGAGTTGAGTCCTAAGTTCCAGCCCAGCCTCCTTTTCACTATCTGCTAAGTCTAGATCTATCGGAAAGATTTTCTAATTAGGACTACCTAATAAATGTTGTCCCTCTGTGAGAGGGAGGAGCCCTTTGGAAGACTTTTAGAAATTTTCAATAGCTGCCAGCTGGGGTCACCCCTGTGGAATTTCAGCACTGGGATGGGGGTTGGATTAGATGCATGTTTTTCCAAGTCCATGCTTTGTAGAGGTACCCACCATCATCAAAAATTGATCACTAATGAGTCTGTTCCTCCTGGTCCCTCCTCCAAGAATTCCCTGGCATCCTCACCCTTAGACCACAGCCTGTTATTTCTAAAGTTATGTATGACCCCTCTCTTTTGCCGTGCTTCATGGACCCTAGACCACCATGCCAGCCCAACCTGATTTCATACCTGCCTTCCCGTCCCTCCACATCACCCTTAAGGCTTAATCTCCATCTTCTCCTATCTTTATCTTTGCAGCCAGCGTCCATCCCTGCCTCTCCGTCTCCCTCTCTCACTGTGCTTCATCTTTCCTTCACACCGCCTAAAAGAGAAAGTTCCCTAAAAGGATCCAGAGGACAAAATGAGCCCTGTTATTTAGAGACCAAGGCCAAACTCCATATCTGATTTCTCACAGCCTTATAATCCCGCTCCATACCAGCACCCAGCTAAATTCAACCCAAGCTCCTCCATCCTGAATGCACTCTTCCAGCAAGTCTACATCCTCTCTCTCATCTGTACTAAGCATCTGCTGTCACCATTTCCCCAAATGAGGGGCCTCTCTCTCTCCATCCTATTCCCACTACCTCCCACCCCTACTTATCCCAGAAAGCCTTTCCTAGTAGTCTTTTTAGTTGTTACAACTGTCTTACCCAGGATGAAATGCTAGAAATTACCATTTCTGGAGGCCAAGAGAATATTATTGAAATAATGAGAGTTCAATAAACAGTTGTAAAACTTTGCAGGAATGGGTTGGAATCTTCACTCTATGTATAAGCCAAGAGGCTGATGTGAAAGGATATTTGGATTTGATTTCTTTCTCTCCATGGCCAGCTGCCACCTGGGTGTGTCTATCATGAACTGAGAATCAGGAGACTCAATCTGTCTCTTTCATAACAGCAGACATGTTAGGAACTGTTAAAAATACAGACCTTGCTTCTATACAAAATTACTATATTTTACATTATTGATACAGCTCTGGAATGTTCCCAAGGAAGTATCCAGACACCAGTACCATCCTTGTCAGAATTGTAAGGCAATATGATGTTTACACATGTGGGTCCAATTTATTTTACCTATGAGTATGGTCTCTAGTTGCATCCATTTACCTACAAAATCCTCCAGTTTATCTTTTTTTATAGCTGAGTAATACTGCACTGATAAAAATACCACATCTTTTTTTATCTATTCTTCAGTTGATGGGCATTTGGGTTGTTTCCAAGTAGCTATGACAAATTGTGCTTCTATAAACATGGGTGCACATATATCAGTATGATATAATGTCTTTAATTCTTCTGAGAAAATATCCAGAAGGGGAATAGCTGGGTTAAGTGGGACTTCTAATCCTAGTTTTGTGAGGAATCTGCACCCTGATTTCCACAGTGGTTTCACCCATCCACATGTTGGTATTTTGCTATTGCTCTTTTTTTTTTTTTTTACTACTCTCTTTAAAATAAAATTTAATAAAAACTATAAGGCAAATCTGGATATAGTGACATTCACCTGTAATTCCAGTCACTCAGGAAGCTAAGGCAGAAGAGAGAAAATCTATAAGGGACCTTGGAGATCAGCTAGTTATAGGAACACAAATATTTAGCAGGCATATCCTTATTTCTACAATAGTGCACATGGCAGCCATAACTAATCAATCACACCTTTCCTCCTGAACTCACATGTAGCCTCAACATTTTTCCCCTCTCAGTACCCAGGAAGCAGACATCAGTCTACTGGCATAGGCATGGCCTTCCTGCTGATAAGATATTTTTAAAGGATTTTGCTTTTTCGTAGTGCTAATGGTGGAACCAAGGGCCTCATGAACACCAGGCAAGTGCTCTGTCACTGAGCTATACTGCCAACTGTACTATTACCCCCTGATCCAGTGGAAGTCTCTTCCTAAAGAGTAACTAATACAGGGTCATTCTATATAGTAGACCCAGGGTTCCTCACCTTTGGTGTAGCCATAGCCATGGCTTATCCATGAGGATGACAGAGTAAGTGACCAGGACAGGATGGGCATGCAGGGCCAAATGATCTGGGATGGTGCATAACAGAGTCCTGTGCACTCACCCATGTACAAACCTGTGGTCCCAATACCAAATGATTCTGGAGTCTCCAAATACAGAGGTCAGGAAATTAAGGATTATTTCACAAGTCCAGCCTGTAGCCTATTTTTATAAATAAAGCTTTATTGATACATAGCCATGATCACTCATTTATATATTGTCTATAGCTTCTTCCATCCTACAAAAAGAGAGATGAGTAGTTACAACTGATTTAATATGACCTGCAAAGCTGAAAATAGTTTCTATCTGATCCTTTACAAGAGAAAAAAAGAGGCCCTCCATGCACCCGGTGCAGACAGATCCTCACTCAGAAGGCCCATAAACTGCTGTCACCAGAGTTCGCATGTGGGCCCTCCCTGCATGTGTCCAGTGCCGAGTGGTGTACTAGAGCAGGCAACTCCATGAGCTGCTGGTTCAGGTCTGGGCTTTACTTGTGCCCTGACCTCCTGGAGGTCACAGACACAGGTGGTCCATGATCACCACCAGTACAGCCCACGTCTAGCTCCTGTGCATGTCCTGAGCTGCCTGGAGACATGGAATCAGGTGGCCCACAAACTGTTGACCCTTCAGCTCATGTCTGGGTTTTGCTTGTACCCTGAACTGCCTGGGGACACAGGACCACTGGTACAGGATTGCGCCACCAGTGCAATCCGAATCTGGGTCATACACATGCCCTGAGGTATGAGGGGACACTGGATCTGACAGTCTGCCCTCAGCTGACATCATGGTTCTTGTCTGAGACTGGAGAGAACTAGATACACTTCACCATCTGCCAGAAAACCCCAGACTAAGCAGTGCATCTCAGTGGACACTGAGCGGTAAGCCTGACCACCAGGAAAACTAGGGACACTAGCGACCTTAGCTGACCTGCCATGGAAGAGGGAGACTGAGCTTTCTGCATCTGGTATCAAACATGACAAGATGAAGGACTAAAACACAATCTCAGAACTTCACCCCACTCAGAACAAGTCCATGAGACATAGACATAGGAGAATTTGGTAAACACACACCTGAAATTGCTGAAATGATTGCAATAGAAATAAAGAAACAACTCCATCAGGCCATAGAAGAGATCAGATCAGAAATAAACTCTCAGGCAAAAAATGAAATGACAATAATAATGAAAGAACTGCTCAGCACATCTAAAGAAGAAACATAT